CCAAATAAAATTAGATCAAAATACCTACAAACACGATATCCATGAAGAAATGCCCTATGTAAGTCACTCGCATCCATAGAACAAAAAATAACATTTTGTTCTAGGGTCAAGCACACTTCCAAAGGAACGTAACCCTTTGGTTAATTACGCTTTAGGGGATACCCAATCATACTCTCGATATAAGAGTTCTTGCTTACATTATCATGATAGTTGGTATATAGATAAAAAAAGATTGTTATTTCTATCAGAGACATTGCCACCTCTGGAGGATATATCGAGCCATATGAGAGAGGGAGAATCCCTCATATCCACATTTGGACGGTAGCACGCCAATGAGCGAGGACTGAAAAATAATTAGGTGAACTTGACAGAACATCCCTATGCTTCAAGATCTAATAGGGCCATAAGGCCAGAGAGTGAATTATCGTATCCCAAATGTTCAGCGATCTATTGATGATAGGGGCCGTTAAGATGACATCAACATTGTCACATAGGACAACTGGGTTCAAAAGGGCTCAACAAAGGAAAACTAGAATCCTTAAACATGTAGAGGTAGCTGGTTCACGATACCATGGTTCCGTTATCCCAAGCTATAAAGATTCTAAGTTTACCTAGTTTCTGGGTTCACTCAATTATGTAGCAGATTATTATATAAATATTGCTCTAGATGCTGCTATTCTTTATAATCGCTTAAAAAAACAACATAATCTATGAACAAAAAATCATACCTAAAGCTGTCCAATTAATTAACCAATTAATTAAGCAAAATGTAAAAATGTTACTTTGTTTACATATTGCAGATCCATCTCTTCCTAAAATAGCGGAGACTAACGACTTTAAAATTGACGATGAAGGAATCCTAAAACAAAGTACTTTTAATACCGAATAATTAGTTCGCTTCACATATGGAAAGTAGAATACCACTCAAGAAAAAATATTCAATCATTAAGAAAGAAAAGCTTTCGGTCGTTAAATGCATTACAAAATTTTAAGATGATTTATTAAATCAAAAAAATTATTACGAATTGATTGCAGTCAATTAAATATATACTGCAAAAAGATGTCAAAAATCTTGTTTCAAAACAATTTTTTTCCAATTGGCAAGCACAATTATCTTGCTTTGAATTTGATATTGAATATATTTCAGGTAATCATAATTCTCTGTAAAAAATTATAAATTTTCAACAATATTTATATGAAAGCCCAATAGACTTTACATTAGGAACCAAATCTCCCAATCTCCTGATCTACAAATCTAAGAAGTCACAAATTTGTGCAAAAATCAACAAAAGAAAAAATCCTTGAAATCAATATAAAGGATTTTGAAATTAATGATTTCTGGAAAATCTAGAAAAAATATTTAGGCACAATTGCCTATGCGCAAGATAGTCTTGATCGTGAATCATACGAGACTATCATCACTTTATTACAATGTGTTGAAGTGAGGATTGTCTGGGGGGTCAACCTAATACGACTCCACGAAACTTTATAAATTTACAATAATATTTATTTGAAAACCTAATGACCTCCACATTAAGAACCAAATTTCTTCAATCTCATGATTTATAAATCCAAAAAGTCACATAATTTGTGAAAAAATCAACAAAAGAAATTAACATCGAAATCAATCTAGAAGATTTTGAAATTAATGATCCCTGGAAAGTCCTGGAAAGATATTTGGGCACAATTGCTGGCGCGTAAGATAGTTTTGATAGAGAATCATACGAGACAATCCTCACTTCATTACAATGTGTTGAAATTCAACATAATTATAATGAACCAAATAATTATATTGCATATAGAAAAATATTTGGGCACAATTGTCGGCGCGCAATATAGGTTTGATGACGAATCATATGAGACAATCCTCACTTTATTACAATGTGTTGAAATTCAACACAATTATAATGAATCAAATAATTCTATTGCATATAGCAAAACGACAATAAATCGTATCTTGCACCACAAGGATTTGAGTTTAACTTCTTTCCAGACTAACAATGTTGAATTTATTTATTTTGTATTTAATCAGATAAAATCATTTCTTTCTAATTAGTGGAAGTATGTCCAATTTATGAATTGAGCTCTTTTGCTTATTAATCCAAGACATAAACATTCTTAGCTTTTTGTGTTAATATCTGAAATTTTAAATAAAAAAATGTCAAATTGGCTTTTGCAATGGTGCGAAAAATTTGGCGCCACCAATGAAATCGTTTCAGAACCCATTAATAATCTTTATCCAACAAGGGTTCACTCCTCTCCGCAACAAAATAAAAAAAAAGAAATTTTAGCCGATTGAATGTGCAAATTATTATTTTTTTGCCAGACACAAATTTTATGAATCTTCGCTTGGAATCTATATCATCAGCAGGATAGTGTCAACACCAAATATTTATGACACACTTTCTTCATCAAATGATGATCACAAATTATTGTTGGTGATAAAATAATTCAAATCAATAAAGTCATCAATGTCAATGTTGAAAATAATCGAGAACAGAGATCCCAAGAATTTTCCTTAAACAAAGAAAATTCATGATCAAATTAAGACGAAATATCCTCGGGAATCCACATATCAAATCAATCGAATAATACAGAAGCTATATCAGAAACATATGAAATAATTGTTCAAATCAGAAGACGACGTGTCAGTCTCTAATCAGGGGTCAGATGACAAATAAAATTGAGAGCGGATGGTGACCCACCTCGGCTCAAATTAATGATAACAAAATTAAAGATTGCTTAAAGTGGACCCCCACTGAGGTCACTTCAGAAGAAATTATGAGCAATAATTTTGGTGGTTGAAATAATAACGATTAGTGGAATAGTGACTATAATAATTCCAGTTATTGTAATAATATTTTGTTGCTTTATGTCACATCTAATAAATATATTATCTCTTTTTAAGTTGTAATGAATTAACTTTGAAGTCCGCCCACAGCTAGCTCTCTCTCCCTCTCTCTCTCTCTCTCTATATATATATATATATATATATAACATATTATGTAAGGTAACTTGCATAAAATCAAACATATAAATAGAAGGTTATAGTTGAGACGCAGGTTAAGCAATGAAAAATATTGCACCTAGCTAAAAGTTTTTATGAACTAATCTTTCTACTATTAGGTGCAATAAGTTTTTATGAACCAATCTTTCTACTATTCTCTCCCTCTCCCTCTCTATCTCCCTCTTGTGAACAAACTATAATTAAACCTCGAGAGCTTCTCATACTTTCATTTTAGTCGATAAATGAGTCAAAAAAGTGGCATATGAAACAGAGAGGTGAAAGCAAAAATTCGTAATCGTCCTTTTCACAAACGATCATGTTCTGGCCCTTTATAATCTTTTCCCTATCCCCTCCAAATGAACATAACTTGATTGATTCCAGCTTGCAGAAGGGTATAGACTTTTATAGGCGCTTTTGACTAATCTAGAGTATCTTGCAGTCAACTTTTAGGATTAAAAAATTTGTGGAAATAAAAAAAATTATAATAATTACATATAAATCACGTATTTATGCATGCCACCATCAAATTATAGAGAATTTAATAAAAATGAAAAAAAATATAAATTGGATTTTATCATAAGTTTTGATATTTGAGTGGGAATTTAAAAAATAGAATGCAAGAGATGGTTGATTTGTAAATAGTAAATTTCGGCTGGTCTGCAAGTAATTGCCTCTCAAAGCTCTTATTCTTCAAATTATTTCTAACCATTTAAATCCTTGTAACTTTGGAAAAAAATTACATCTGGTGATCTACATCTGAATTAGGTGCAGATGGTGTTAACAAATATATTATTGAATAACAACACAATACTAGCAATAACACCTAAATACTATCATTCACACATGAAACTGCATCAGAACTCATAATGTAATAGTTTCTTTTAACTTTGACATGTTTTTTAATTTATTTCAATATTTAATATCAACTTAAAAGAACTAATGAGAAAATAGATTAAGAACGAAATTATTAACATCTATACATTTGTTCTTGGAATAATGATTGAAAAATAATTTCTTATTGGGAGAACAAAAAATCATTGGGGTGATTACATAAAAAGCATCCAAAACATTATTATTTACAAATCAAATAATCTCTTTTATCCATTCTTCAAATTATCACCTAAATATCATAAGTCATTATAAAATCCTAACCCATATTTTTCATTTTTATCACATTCGTAATGGTTTGATTGTGACATGCATAAAATGCATTAGTTTAATAGTTCAAAAAAATTATTTAGGTGCTTGATTTTTAAATGGGAATGTTTTTTTTTTTTTAATATTTTGCATGTAATTAATTTTTTTTCAATTCACCCTTTCATTTAAAACATAATAAAAGGGGTTGTTATATAGAAAACACCTAAAACATTATTTTTTTTACATATTTAGCACCCATCAGTTATTTATGGGAGAAGCACTCGAGAACCCTCCTGTAACCCTCACTCTCTTGAACAATTATTGTGTCCGGACTACCGAAGTAGAGATACGTCCAGAGTCAAATAAAACAATACCACGTGAAGGTGAAAGAAAAATAAAAAAAAAATTTTTAGCACAAGAAAATATTCCTCTCATATTATTCGGTGTTATTCATATGTTATTGTGGTGAAATTCATATATTGTTGTGTTCTAAGAATATTTTCGGTGTTATAATAACACAATAACACATTAATATCATCATAATAACACCTGAATAATGCTTAATAACATTGAAAGAATATTTCCCTACCCGGCCCAGATTAAAAAAAAAACGAGTATTTTTTTTCGATCAGTTCGAGATGTGGTCGTATGTTTCCCGTCTCCTTCTTCCCCCTCATTCACATGCATGCATTTTCTGTATGGACACCTGATGTACCTTTAGGTGCTGTGCAGATTATTCTTGAGTTATTTTCAGTTTATTTCTGAGTTATTTTCAATAATGACGTAATAATCCAAAAATAATCAAAAAATAAATAAGCTGAGGTTATTATTTAAAGATTATTGAAAAACCTGCGCCCCTGTCCGGCGACGACGGGATCGCGGCGCACAAAAACCAGCATCTGGTTCCGCCGAAAACCATTGCCTTCGTTATTGAAACCTTGGCGAGGAGAGCTGGTGGGGAGGCGATGACGGGATCGCTGCACACAAAGAGCTCTGAAATTCTAATACTTCATCTGCTTCCACTTCGTTCCTACCTGAAACCATTGGTACGGTAACCCTATTTTGCTTTAGATTTGATATGTAGATTTGGTTTGTGATTGTAAATCATCCCAATTCAGAAATTCCCTAAAGTTAAACCTTCACATTAGTTCAAATATATAGCAGCAAGGAAGAACTTACTTGGGTCGTTGTTAGTTAGCTTAGCAGTATTGTTGAAGGAGCAGGTTCCTCCTGTTGCCTGATTAGCTTGGTAGTATGCATCACACGCTGCTCGCGCTTTCCTTGCTCGACGCTCGCACCTCCTCGCTTCTGTTGGTTTGGCCGCATCTGCCTCAGCTTCATGTCACCGCCGCGTGACGTTTGGTCATTCTGTCTGTTATTGTGGAATCAATCAATTTGTCTATCATTATACATCCTCTCTCTCCGAATCAATCTCTGTTTGATCTTGTGGATGATCTAAAGAGAGGAGAGATCGGAGTGCTAAGGTATAAGATGATAGAGGCAAACAAAAGAAAACACTTCGGAAAGCTTTCCTGAGGTGGACTTCACCTAGATAGCTCTGAAGCCTATATCCAGGTTGCAATCGACTTAAAACACTTTGGAGACATACTCGTGAAGAATACCTGACAAAGAAAATCCATGATTAGAGATAAATGTTATTGTACTTGTTATGGGGTTCGCTTCTTCCTATAAGGGCAAACCCCTATATTTATATATATCTTAAGCAATTTGAATTCTATTGTTAGTAAGGAAGGGAATTTAATGCCCTATTCTAGAGAAAAAAGGTAGGGGATGCTTAAGGGCTCAGAGGAACCCTATCAGGATCCCGAACCTATGATTTTGTGTTGTTTTGAAAGCAATTTCAAGTTTTACTCCTAATATTTTAGGGGACGCTTAAGGGCTCGGAAGAAATCTGTCAGGATCCCGAACTATCCCATGCTTTGTGTCATTTTGAAAAGTAATTTCAAGTTTTACTCCTAATATTATAGGGGATTATGACTCATGCTGCACAATATATGATCATGCAGATGCCCAAAAGTGAGGATTTACATCGAACTGGACGAAAAAGGTAAGGTTACAAATCCTAATTGATTCATGTTGTTGTTAATGGTTTTGTTGAGGCTCATTCTTCGCATCGTGTTATGCATAGTTGGAATGATCATTCCTGCAAAATAGAGGTAGCACACCCCATTAACATGTAAAGTAAATCTAGGGTGACCTCCGTCTTTTGTCTTCAGCAGTCTTGCAAAACAGAGTTAGCGTAAAATATTTTTAATTTGATTGATTTATTTGTTGTTTTTATTTAAGAAAACTTAGTTAAAATGCTCATGACTTTCCGTCGTCTCGGGTTTGATGGGTTCGTTGATCTACTTAATCTGAAGAGCCGATCAAACCTATTTCGACCAGAAGATTCTTATCACAAGTCATGAGTTGCGTCGTCCAAGAAACCTTCGTAGACCAGGGTAGCAGAGTTAAAGTTGTCTTCGGTGATCTCTGTTCATTAGGGTTTCATTTAAGTTTTCATGTCCCTTTCAAATTCTAGGGGTTGAAAGTTTTAGGTTGTTTAAGACTTCTTAACCGATTGGATTTTGTGATTTTTTCTTTTTGTTTTGTTTAAATGTTTAAGATGACCAGATCAAGATCCCATGGTTCTGTGCTCCTGAGGTCTTGTTAAACCACAAGTGACCGGAAGGTACTTTGTTAGTAGTCATTGGTTGCCTTCTCCAAAGTACCTTCTCAAACCATGTTGCATTTTATGGTTAAAATTTAAGTCCTGTCAGATTTTAGGGTGAATTTTATGTTGCGTCTTTTATGTTGGTTTGACATCTTAGATCAAGTTGAGTTCGACTGACGTTAACTATGCTTTTGTTTTCTTATGAGAAGTCAAACACTCCTTAACTTCAAGTCATGTAAGTCTGTTTTAATTTCGGATTAGACCAAGTTAGGTCGAACTGATCCAGGGTGGGCTTCCGATCGATCCGAGTTAGCCTAGGTTGGCCTGGTTTGTCCTCAGATTAGCTTCACATTGATTTAAGTCAACCTAGGTTTAATAGGATTGACCTAAATTGGCTTAGTTTGATTGGGATCAAGCTTAGCTTAACTGGTTTGGACTAATCCGGGGTTGGACCAAGTTGATCCAAATCCGACTTATTTAATTTTGAGCTAATCCGGGTTAAGATGTGTTGACTCGAGTCAAGCCTCTTGAGTCGAGGCAAATCTAACTCGAGTTAGATTTTTGACAAAGCCTGAGTTGATTTAGATTTGACTTATCCTTTAATCGAATCAAGTCTAAGTTGAGTTAGACTAAAGTCGATCTGCAATTATACTTAGTTTAAGTTGGACTTAAGTTAAATTCGGAGTTGAGTTTCAGACTGTGTTGGCCTGAGTCGGATTGGCCCGGGATGTTTGAGTTGTTTTAGGTTAACCTGAGTTAGGTCAGTTTGACCTGGTGATTTAAGTTAATTTTCGTTAACCCGAGTTAGATCGATTGACCCAGCGATTTAAATTTATTTGGGTTAACCCCAGTTAGGTCGGGTTGATTTAGTGATTTAAGTTGATTTTGGTTAACCCGAGTTAGGTCGGGTTGATTTGGGTTAACCCGAGTTAGTTCGGGTTGACCCCGGTGATTTAAGTTGATTTGGATTAATCTGAGTTAGGTCAGGTTAGCCCGGTGATTTTGGTTAATTTGGGTTAACCAGAGTTAAGTCGGGTTAGCTCGGTGATTTAGGTTGATTTGGGTTAATTTGAGTTAGTTCGGATTGACTAGGTGATTTAGGTTGATTTGGGTTAACTCGAGTTAGATTGGGTTGACCCAATGATTTAAGTTGAATTTGGTTAACCCGAGTTTGGTCGGGTTGACCTGGTGATTTATGTTGATTTGGGTTAACCCGAGTTAGGTCGAGTTGACCGGGTGATTTAGGTTAATTTAGGTTGATCCAGTGATTTATGCTGATTTGGGTTAACTTGAGTTAGGCCGGGTTAACCCGATGATTTAGGTTGATTTGGGTTGACCCAATGATTTCCGTTGGTTTGGTTTAACCCGAGTTAGGTTGAGTTGATCCGGTGATTTAAGTTGGTTTGGGTTAACCCGAGTTAGATCGGGTTGACCCGGTGATTTAAGTTTGTTTGATTTAACCCGAGTTAGATCGGGTTGACCTGGTGACTTGGATTTGGGTCTAAGTTAGGTTAAACCTAGGGTTGTTGAGTTGAACTAGGTCTAAGTTGGGTTTGATCTAAAGTGGTTCAGTTTGTGCTAGGTCTAAGTTGGGTTAAACCGAGGGTGGTTTAAATTGTGCTAGGTCTTGGATGTGTTAGATCTAAAGTGATTCAATTTGAGCTAGGTTAGACTTAGGGTTGTTGAGTTGAACTAGGTCTAAGTTGAGTTAGACTTAAAGTGGTTCAATATGTGCTAGGGCCTATGTTGGCTTAGACCTAGGGTGTTATAAATTGTGTTAGGTCTAACTTGAGTCAGACCTAAAGTGATTCAATTTTTGTTAGATCTAAGTTGGGTTAGACTTAGGCCAAACTCTTAGTTTGACTTGAGCTGGGTTAAGTCTGATTGGGGGTCAGACCTAGATTGACTTCAATTGGATTAGATCCAATCTAAGCCTACTTGGGATAGGTCCAAGTTGGGTTTAGACCTAAGTCAAGTTTAACAAAGTCAAGTTCAGTGGTTTCATGACAAAAGGGGTGATCATGATGTCAGTCCCTTAAAACCCTCGTTAGGCTAAGCCCCAAGGTTCACTTAGTGTTTTAAATCAAATTTAGGGGACAAACCGGGCTAGGATGTAAAATTTCAATTTTACAGTTTTACCCCAGGGTTCCTAAATTTCATTTTTAAGTTCTTATGGGTGAAAATTGTCATTTTAACGTTTAGGATTAGTGCCCTAAATGTTCTGGTTAATTTCCATTTTAATTTGCATTTTTCTTATTTTTATTTCAAATTTTATAATTATTTTTCAAAATAATTATAATTTTAGTGAATAATTGGTCATTTTAATGTTAGGGAGGTCCCCTGACCTTAGAAATATCATGAGTTGTTCCTAAAGGTAGAGGGAAATATCCCTCAAAATTTCATATTTTTCTTTCTTATAGTTAATTTTCAGTAATTAAAATACTCTATAAAGTATTTAATTAATTAAAAAATTATTATAAATTAATTGTTTTCATTTTTATTTTCATTACTCTTCTGATCCATGAGTCCAGAGGTATTTTTATTTTATTTTATTTATTTTTCTACATTAAGTTATGTATTTTTAAAGTTTTTAAATATTTTTTGGATTTAATAAATTCAAAATATACCGAATTTCCTATTTAAACCAGTCAGCTCTGCAACATCCTTGTTTGCTCCGAAGTTCAACACGTATTTTGCTTACTGGTTGCGCTTTCCATGTGGTTGTCGCGTTGTCCTGCTGTTCGCTCCCTTTATCCACACGATTTTATAGCTGTCGTTTGTTTCTAATACATGAAAATGAACAACATCGGTTCATCGTCCTCACGGGAAAGAGAACCAAGAACCGTCCGTGTTCAAACCCTAATATTTCACTTGATTCTCAACTAAATTACTTGTGATTTGTTCCTACAGCTTCTTCTAATCGAGACGAACCTATCTATGCGGCTAAATAGACCTGCATTGTACATTTCTTTCATAAAGATCCAAACCAAGGCTCAATTTAGGGATTTTTTATCCATACCTTATCCAAACAGGTGTGGCCTCGATTGGGCTTGAAAGAGACGATCGCCTTAATACCACGTACTACCTCTTTGCTTCAATTCAATCTGAAATTGGCTCTAGCTAAGAGCTAGGCCAAAAGGTGATTCAGGTTGGTGTTGGGATGGGTTGGAAGGCTCGGGAAGGCTTGATTTTGATTGGGGGAGTAAGTCTAACTCTTTATGAAGCTTGTGGAAGGGTTGGGTTAGAGTTTTGGTAGAGTTGATGTCGGGGCCAAAGAATGCTCTGAATTGCAATGGTAAAATTAGGGTTTTATGGTGGCTTAGGTGGCCTAAGGATGGTGGAGATAGTTTGCTCTGATCAGGGGGAGTGCTT